TTTTGCGCAGCTCGTCAGTGAACAACGGCTCTGTGTAGTTAATGCTGCTCAATGTGAAAGCCCGCAGGTGATGGAGACTTACCGCTGATTACAGAACCGGCTTTACTGACAAGATGCGCGTTAAATATCGCATGCGATTTATCGTACAGCCCTAGTAAAAATTGTGAAATATTATTTCAGTTTAAAACTTTCTATGTGAATATTTGTTAAACTGTAATTTATTTCTGTGATCAAAGCTGAATTTTCAGCATCATTACTCCAGTCTTCAGTGTCACATGATCTTCAGAAATCATTCTAATATGCTGATTTGCTGCTCGAGAAACATTTCTGATTATTATCAATGTTGAAAACAGTTGTGCTGCACAATATTTTTGTGGAAACTGTGATACCTTTAATTTTTCAGGATTCACAGATGAATAGAAAGTTCAAAAGAACAGCATTTATTTGAAACATACATCTTTTGTAACATTAAACATTAAAATGTCTTTACTGTCACTTCTGAATAATTTAATGCATCCTTAATGCATCCTTAATGAATAAAAGTATTAATTTATTTAAATAATTGAATGGCAATGTACATTATGTTACAGATTTGTGAATGAAACAGGATATTTCACAAGAAAATAGAAAATAGAAGAATGTTTTTCTCCATAATGAATTAACAGGATGGTGAAAGTCTCTCTGTATGACGGTGGATAATACATACAGTAAGAGTTACCGATAATGTCATTTTTCTTACTTTATATACATTCTGAACAAAGATTCTGCAAAGATATTTAACAGATGAATTAGTTTTACATTTACACCATGCTAAACTTCATGTGTGCTTGGAATAGAACTTCCTTTAACCAGATGGTTCATAAAGAATGTAAAGAGAATGCTTCTTCAATAATAATAAAAAAAAAAAAATACAATCTTGAATCGGTCAAATGTATCCTTTCTGTCCAACAGAAGATTCTCAGTAAATATAGAGAAGCATTCTTCTTCTGTAGCGCATGTTACATGTGGTGTCCCTCAGGGTTCAACTTTGGCCCCGCTGCTGTTTTCATTGTATATGTTAGCCACTGGTTCTAGGAGATATGGTCTGTCATATCATTGATGATACTCAGCTTTACACCCCATTTAGGTGCAAAAACAGCTCTGCCATAAATCAATTAATAGCCTGTCTCCAACAATTGAGAACATGGCTAACCAATCATTTTCTGCATCTGTTTGGGACTACCGAGAAAACTGATCTGAGTGCTGTTGACTTGGGCTCTCTCACGCCATATCACTCTTTTGATGTCAAGGATCCGGGTTTATTCTGGATAGTGGCTTAAAGCTGAACAAACAAATCAATTCTGTTGTCAGTTCCAGTTTTTATCACCGAAGATTAGCCAAAGTTAAACCCGTCCTAAGTTTTGAGATTAATGCTTTTATGTCATCACGGCTTGATTATTGCAATTCACTGTATCACGGGCTGCCTGTCATCTATTCATAGACTTCAATTGGTCCAAAACGCAGCAGCCCGCTTGACCGCATCAGGCCTATTTTACGTTCTCTGCACTGGCTACCTATTCATTATCGCATTGAATTAAAAAATGTGTTGTTTGTATCCAAAGTGTTAAACAATGTCGCTCCTCAATACCTTTCAGAGTTGATTACCGAACACAATCCTGTCAGATCACTCAGATCACAGACTACTCATCTTCTATGGGTACCCAGATCTAGACTGCAATGCAGGGGTGATAGAGCTTTTGCAGTAGCTGGACCCAAGTTATGGAACAAACAGCCATTATCTGTACAGCGAATACAGTGTCCGAGTTTAATTTGTATTCTTGTGCTTTCAATGTCCTGTGAATGTCTGTTTTAATTTGGGTGATGGACTCACGCAATTTTGTACAGCACTTTGGTCAACCAAGTTGTTTTAAATGTGCTTTTTAAATAAATTAAACTTGAAATGTACTGAAAAAAAGAAAGAAAAAAAGATTGTATTTTTGCCATCTCGCCCAGTCCTAGTTTCTAGTCTTCAGCTCACAGGTGGTCAAAGCGTCCCAAACATCAGTGCTGTATTTCAGTGCAAGTGGCTTATTTTCCGAGCACATGCTCCTCCTGACAATACAGAGCGCATTAGCGCTGGAGCTCCTGACTGCGAAGTACAATAGCCGCTGAGGAGCATGTGCGTCATTGCGATCACGAGCCGTGGTAGAGACTACAATTCTGTGCAGCTGAGCAGACAAATGTTCCCTGAAGACTCTGCACTCTGAGGTGAACATGAGCCTTTCAGAGAGGATTTTCATCACAGTGAGGAGTGAAACTGAGAACATGGACTGAGCCGCTTCACAGGTTATTATAGTACAATCACTGACCCTCACGCATGCAGTATTTCATTCACAGACACGGTGAAGGATTCAGTGAGGTCCCGTTCGCTATAATTCATAACACATCATTTCAAATCCACTGTACACAAAACTCATATTTCAGTGATCAAATATAATTTGGCCGTAATGAACAGGGAATTGAGCATTATTTCATGAAAGGAAAGAGTTTAATGTAGCACTAATGTATTGCCCTTCACGGTTTGCTTTATTTAAATTAAAGACTTATTTGTTCATTACCAGGCATAAATCAATATTACAGGTTGCTTATTATTACCTTTTTTATTTGTTAGCAAGCATAACATGAAAATAATGAATGTCTTATCTGTTTCAGCCAGTATTTTAATATTTGCTCTTCATAAAGACACTCAGAAGTGAGAATGAGAATCTACAAACACATTCAAAACTTTCGGAAATCATTTTATTATGCCAATTTGCTGCTCAATAATCATTTATTTTATTTTTTATTTACCATTTGTATTATCAGTGTTGAAACAGTTCATATTTGATGCCTTTTATTTTATCAGGATTTTTGTGATTAATAGAAAGTTCAAAAGAACAGCATTTATTTAATAAAAAATGCAGTAAAAATGTTGAAATATTATTCCTATTTAAAACAGCTGTTTTCTATGTTAATATCTGTTAAACTGTAATGTATTTCTGTGATGCGCAGCTGAATTTCCAGCATCATTACTCCAGTCTTCAGTGTCACATGATCTTCAGAAATCAGTATAATATGCTGATTTGCTGCTCAAGAAACATTTCTGATTATTATCAATGTTGAACACAGTTGTGCTGCACAATATTTCTGTGGAAACTGTGATGCATTTTATTTTTCAGGATTCACAGATGAACAGAAAGTTCAAAAGAACAGCTTTTATTTGAAATATAAATCTTTTGTAACATTATAAATGTCATTACTGGCACTTTTGATCAATTTAATGCATCCTTGATACATAAAAATATGAATTTATTACAAAATCAAAAATTTTTTGTAGAAGTTAGTGTACATTAGGCAATGAAGACAGTCAGAGTTTTGCAGCCGTACAGACTGTAAAATATCCTGAATCCTATCAAGTTCATCTTCTCGACTCATTTTCTGACCGCCACTCGACTCTTTTACTCGTCTCAAATGTGTTTCATGTGTATTTACAGCATCTGTAGAATCTGTCGATGACAGCACTCTCCAGATTCAGTCGAAGCAAACACAACGCTCAGGAAACATTCACATGAAGCATCGTCATCATGAGACTAAAAGCTATTTAATATTAATTTCCACATCCATGTCAAATGAAAGCTGCAATGCGTCAGAAATAGAAACGAGATGTCAGTCAGGTACAGATCCCTGATTTTAATAGGACACGTCTAATTTTATCACATTAAACTGCACGCATGTAACTAGCAGTAAACATACTGAAAATACAATCTCTCACTATTAACTAGCAGTAATATTACTGGCAAATTGGCTGTTTATTAGTACTTATAAAGCACATTGATGCCTTATTCTGCATGAGAATATTTTAGATCCCCTAATCCACCCCACACCTAAACTAACAACTACCTTACTAACTATTAATAAGCAGCAAAAGTCATAGTTAATAGTTAGTTAATAGTGAGAACTGGAACATCTGAACTTCAGTATCACTGCCACAGTACTGTTTTTATGACTTTTAACATTCATAAAACAAGTTCATCAATGCAATTGAATGCAGCAAGATCAAATTCAGATCCAAACTCACATTGTAT